CTTCCTTCCTTCCTTCCTTCCTTCCTTCCTTCCTTCCTTCCTTCCTTTCTCTCTCTCTTTCTTTCTTTTTTTCTTTCTTTCTTTCTTTCTTTCTTTCATTTCTTTCATTCCTTCCTCCCTTCCTCCTCCCTTCCTCCTTCCTTCCTCTCTCTCTCTTTCTTCCTCCCTTTCTTCCTTCCTCCCTTCCTTCCTTCTCAGTGGTATTACCTTGACCCAAGCTCCATGCACTGGGAGGTGGTAGAGCATAACATTTATGGGACTGTGTTCTGTACTCAGAGTGCCTAGAAATAAATCCCAGCTCCATCACTTACTGGTCGTGGTTGTGTAACCTGGATAATGTGCTGCTTCCTCCAAGAACACTTTCCCAATCTTCTCAGTCAGAATGAATCTTTTTGCTCCTTTGTGCTCTCAAGTATTTTCTGTTCTTGTTGTAGGACAGGGCTGAGTCATGATGAGCTCTCAATGGATGTTCATGGGATTGACTAGCATGTTGTGCTCTTTATTGTCATTATGTGCATGCATATTTGTCCCTTAAACTAAATAAAAAATTCTTTGAAGACAAAAATTATATCATTCATCTTTGTATAGCCTACGGTGTCTCATATGTAGTAGACAATAGTTTCTTTAATTCTATCGAGAAACTTGTTTTTTCAAAATGAATTTTAGGGGCACGTGGGTGGCGCAGTCAGATGGGTGTCTGACTCTTGGTTTCAGCTCAGGTCGTGATCTCAGGGTCATGAGAGATTGAGCCTGCTTGAGATTCTCCCTCTCCCTCTGCCCCTCCTGCTAGTGCTCTCTCTCTAAAATAAATAAATCTTTAAAAAAATAAAGATAAGGGACTCTTGATTTCAGCCCAGGTCAGGATCTCGGGGTTGTGAGATCAGGTCCTGAATTGGGCTCTGTACAGGATGTGGAGCCTGCTTAAGGTTCTCTCTCCCCCTATCCCTCTGCCCACCTTCCTCTCTAAAAATAAATAAATAAAAAAGATAAAAATAAAAGTGAATTTTAGAGGAAGAAATAACATCAGTCAGGCTCTCTATTTAGCCATTATTTTTAAATACTGCCAAGAATAACATTCAGTCCAGCTTCCCACCCCACCCCCACTCTGGCAGTGAGGTTATATGATTCTTCAGGATCTGGATCCTCACTTTTCACTGGGGGAACAAGTGAAATGATTAATCTTTATGGCTTCCATTGCAAATCCATCTCACTTCACCAAGTCTGCCCACCTGGAATATTCACATATGGAGCCTTATGTTATGAAGGGATGTAATGTATACAAGCAATTCAAAGAAGAAAAATAAATACTACAGTTTTCCTTCATACATTCTTAATCATAAGAGTAGCTGGATTCAAATGCCTGCAAGATAACTGTACTTTTAATAATCATCAGCCACAATTCCCTTGACAATTCCATTTTCTCAAAAGGAATTCATGCATTTTGGTCATTTGGCTTCGATTGATTCAATGGTGATTCCGGAGCCATGGGTTATTTTGCATGTGCTTGTGATTGATTGATTTAGATAAGCATTAGAGTTTTCTTAGTAAGGGACGGCAGCTTCCAGAAACACAGAAGGAGGAATAACCTCCTCTGGGCCTTCCTATTCACTTATCTCCCTTGCTACCAATTCCAGACTGGGGCATGGCCCCAGATTTGAGGAAAACTGAAAGAAAAAGGGCAGAAAGGTACAGGCATACCTCAGACACACTGTGGGCTCTGTTCCAATCACTGCAATAAAGTGAGTCAAAGAAAAATATAACTTTTTTTTAAAGATTTTATTTATTTATTTGACAGAGAGAGTGAGAGAGTATAAGCAGGGGGAGTGGCAGAAGGAAAGGGAGAAGCAGGCTCCCCACTGAGCAAGGAGCCCTATATGGGGCTCCATCCCAGGACTCTGGGATCATGACCTGACCTGAAGGCAGATGCTTAACCGACTGAGCCACCCAGGTGCCCCAGAAATATAACTTTTATATGCACTGGTTTCCCCATGCACTGTATTGTATCTATTAAGTATTCATTTGCATTATATCTAAAAAAAGTACATACTGTTTTTTATAAATGTACATACCTTAATTTAAAAATTTTGCTAAAAAATGCTAACCATCATCTGAGCTTTCAGTGAGTTGTAATCTGATCATACAACACCATAACAAATATAATAATGATGAAAAAGTTTGAAATACTGTGAGAATTACCCAAGTGCAACTCAGAGACACAAAATGAGCAAATGCAGTTGGAAAAAATGGTGCTGTTAGACTTAATCAGTGCAGGTTTACCAACCTTCAATTTGTAAAAAACGTAGTATCTTTGAAGTGCAGTAAGGTAAGGTATGCCTGTATGTGTCCTATTCAATTTATTTATGTATTTAATGTTTTTTTTTCCATCTCCCACCTCCAGAATTTAAGTTCCTCCAGGCCAGTGATCCTTCTTGTCCACTAATGTAGGTCAACCTCCCAGAACTGTGCCTGGCATACAGAAGGCTTTCAGTAACTATTTATTGAGTGATTGACTTTATTTCAAGTCCTTCTTCATCTAGGCCTTTCTCCCCACGAAAAAATGAGAAAAAAATGTGCTTAGTGACAGAGGTGGGGTGAGGCCTGGGTCTGTAGAATCGGAGCTAACACTCTGGACAGATCCCCAACCTGAGGCTTGCTGCTTCTTTCAGACAACAGCGTTTAGAAATCCCACCCTCTGGGCGGGCTCTGGGCCGAGCACGCCATTTCTGATTGGTTGATGGAGGTGATGGGCGTGAGGGACAGCGAAGGAGGAGCCGCTCTCTAGGCTTCCGGGCGCCGAGGTTACCCGGCTGTGGGAACCGTTGGCGTGCTGGTTGCCGGTGTAGTCACGGGCGCCCGAGAGGAGGACGAGGAGGGTGAGCCTGAGATAGGGCCCCGTAGCGTGTCCATAGTCTGATACCCCTAAGTTGTTAGTAGAAGGGGATTCTGGTGGCCAGTGGAAGCTGGGTCCCTGGGAAGAGGAAGGGATGGAGAGGAAGCCCGACGGGGGATGGGTGTGGGGAGGTAATTGGATAAGCAGGTCATTGCTCCAAAGGGGGCCTCTGTGGGCACTTGAGACCCAAAGCTCCTTGGCCCAGGTGTCTTCCTGTTACTTCGCACAGCCGGGCTTGCACGTGTCCGCTTGCGTGCTCTGGCGTTGGAGGACCATAATGTCAGGGTGAGGTCGCCGTGGTCACAGATGGAGAAGTGTGGGTCTGGCCTTCTCTTCCTTGGGATTTGGTGTCCTGGGATAGGATAATGAGCCCTTTACTTTTCTGGTCTCTGACAGGTGTAGGCATGAACATGGCAGAAGGGGACACCCTGATATCAGTGGATTATGAAATTTTTGGGAAGGTCCAAGGGGTGTTTTTCCGCAAGTACACTCAGGTATGTGGCCTACAGGCTTTGGGGACATACCTAGGTTACGTGTAGGGGAACAAGAGACCATGTTCCTGACGAATAAATGTGCCTTGGGAGAAGCCCGCTTTTTGGTAGCTGCATGGTGGTTTGTAGAGCAATGGGAATGAAAATGCTTGGCAGGGGATGAAAGACAATGTAAATGGCAGAATCATGTGCTGTTATTATCGTTCTTTTCTGACAGTGGTACCAGGGTACCTAGACACATATTAATGAGCTTCTCTCTTCCTAAGGGGAATTAAGGGCTTCCCCAGTTCTCCCTGTTGTGGCCTCATCAAACCAGATCACAGTTCTTGTAGGAGGGCTAATGTTGATCAGATGGCATTTAAAGATTTTATTTATTTACTTAAGAGAGAGAGCATGAGTGAGGGAGAGGGGCAGAGAGAGAGGGAGAAGCTAACTCCCTGCTGAGCAGGAAGCCCGATGTGGGGCCCCATCCCAGGCTCCCGGCACCATGACCTGAGCCAACAGCAGACGCTTAACCGACTGAGCCACTCAGGTGCCCCAGTCAGATGGCGTTTAGGTGAACTCCTGATAGTTATGAAATTTACGTAATTGCTTCCTCTGTAGCTGCTGCATTTTCTTCAGACCTCTTTCATTTCTTCAACCTTCTCCATTCCCCCACTTGATTCCTTTCTATTCATTATG